AATAATTCACGAAAATTTTTTTTTGCACCTTAAATCCACGATTTACACTTTAAATTCATCATTTACACCGTAAGTCTATAATTTACCAAAAACCTTAAGTTGTGTTCTGCTGGTAAAAACAGATTTATGGGGTAAATACATGATTAAGCAAAAATTCACAAATTGTTTTCACGCCATAAACTCATGATTTACATTGTAAATCCATGATTTACCAAAGGATACATATTGCTTTTATAAGTAAATCCATGATTTATTAAAGAACTCAAATTGTATTTTGCTGGTAAATAACGAATTTACAGGGTAAATACATGATCTAAGTGATATTAACTTGATAAATCCTCAAATTTACTAAATTAGTATCATAACCTGGCAAGTTATGAACCATAACTTGTTTAGTTATGAAAATAACCTATCAAGTTATTGACAATAATTTGGTCATTTATGGAAATGTCAATTAATAGACCTTAATCTGTCAAGTTTTACGAAATATCTGGTCAAGTTATAGCCTTAACCTGGTCAACTAAAAATCAAAAAATAAATTTATTTTTCTTTCTTTTAAGTATCCAGAAAACCAAACTGTTTGACGAAATGCTGTAGAGGACCTAAAAACAGTTTCTTCGTTATAACGATTTTATTTAATTTTGTTGATCCTTCCAATGTAGTTAAACGCTCAGAGCTTCTGTTCTTTCTCTATTTTCTCCTGTCAACTTTATGACATATACATCCGTTTTTTTTTTTGATGAAAAAGCTGAACAAGACTCAATCAATTCTGAAATAAGACAGACAACACCAGAAAGAATTACATCTGAAACGATTAACTAAGCAATCCTAAATGATTTTAGAAGGTACTACTAACAAATACACCATTAATTACGTGTAAAACTAATATGTTCAAAATGCAAAACTTAAATTTTCTCAAAATTCCCAAAGGTCAATGTCGGAGCTACAAGCCGCCACTGCCGCCATCAATGGTCATCGGCCGAGCTCCATCTGGTCGACAGTCGTCTTCCTCTACTGCGAATCTAGCTAAGCTCCGTCGTCTCTCTAACGGAGAACGTTGTTGCTCATGAACAAAACTCCATAATGCTCGTAAACAGAGATCCACAGAGCCTTCAACGTCGCGATGACGGTATCCACCATGGTTAATAGACAATCGTCTAATCTCCTATTTGAATGCTGGTAAGAGTGGACAGAAACGAGGAGAGAGAGGGGAGGAAAGAAGATCTGACATTTGCGCCTAGCGATAACGTCGCCGACGACATGATCATCACTGCCGCAATTCTCATTGAAGAGAGAGAATGAATGAGATCTTCAAAGAGAGAGAGAATGAGAGAAGCAAGAAGAGAGAGAAAGCGAGATAGCAGTAGAGAGAAGTAAGAGAGAGAGCAAGAAAAAAGGGAGAGAATTGTGGAGTGTTTTGACTGATATATTTTAATGGGGGTATTTTTGTAACTGACCTAAATACTAAATCTAGATTTACTTCTAAATGGCCTACTTACTAACACTACAACAAAAAAAGTTATTAGCGACGACATTTATCTTTGCTAAAATTATAGTATTAGCAACGACATGTCGTCGCCAAAAAGAAATCAAATTTTTTGAATGACTTGTCGTCTCATTCACTATTAGCGACGACATATCATTGCATAAAATTTCAATACTTGCGGTGACATATCGTCGCTAACATTTGGCAAATTATTCACGACGACATGTCATCGCTAATAGGGAATGGCGCCAAAACCAATCCGGCACCAGTTTGTCCATTATTTGCGATGACATGCCATCACAAATATGGATACGTACAATTGGCGGTGACGTGGCCAAAAAGAGGCAAAAAATTTGGCAGTTTCCTGCGCAAAGGTTCCAGATAGTTCTTTATTTTTTGCGACGACATATTGAAAAAACGTCGCAAAAAAGGGTTCCAATAAATTATTTTCAGAACGACTGTTTTTGTGATGACACGTGCCGTCACAAAAAAGGGTTCTAGAAAATTCTATCAAGTACGACTATTTTTTGTGACGACTTGTTTAATAATGTCGTCGCAAATAAGTGAGAATTTAATTTTTCCCAAAAAAAGGGCGGAAACTTTGGCGGTTTCCTTAAAATTATTTGCGACGACATCTTAACAAAGTCGTCACAAAAAAAAGAGCACGAGTATATTCCTGAAGAATATTTTCATAAATATTAATGAGGTGAAAAAGAACGACGTCATTTTTCTTACAATTACGACGATAATTTAATATTTTTACGATGACATTTGTCGTCGCAAAAACTGGCCTGTATAAACACGATGCCAGATCAGTTTCCTCCATTTTTTCCGGCATCTTTCTCTATTTTCTTCCTTCCCGTCTAAAACCGTCACATACCGTCCAAAACCTCCGAAAAAAGCTTAAATACTTCATTCTCTCTTCAAATCCTTCATTTGTGGTGAAAAATAATGCGAAAAAGTACGAAAAAATGAAGTTTTTCCTCGCCCTCCCATTTTGCTGCCTTACCGTTCTCCAACCCCCGGTGTTTGTGGGTTTGGATTTTGTGAGTTAATATTTTGGTATTTTTGTTATGGTTTGTGGTTTTGTTTTAGATTTTAGATTTAGTTTGTGGTTTTGAATTTAGAATTTAGAATTGTAAATTAGAATTGAAATTGAAATATGTGGTAATTAGATTGAAATTTGTATCAAATTTTTTTAACGATGATTATGTGATGATTAAAAAAATTAGATAAAAATTTTAATTAGGATTATATTAATAATAAAATAATTAAACAAACTAATGTTAAATACTTATTATAAAATAATTTGTGTTAATTTTCATAAAATTTGATAAAACTTTATAAATTCTTCATAGTGGAGATGCCTATGGACAAGAGTTGGATACATTTAAGGAACCGGTTGTATGATGAGTACTGGGATGGTTTGTGTACTTTTATTGAGGTTAGAAAGAATTATGCAAATTCAACTGGGGGTATTAGTTGTCCGTGTATCAAGTGTAGAAATCATGAGATGCTGCCACCAGAAACAATGGTAGTTGTGTTCGCGGACCAGATAACCAGACATATTACGGAGTACTGGAAGAGATTTATGAATTATCATACATAAACAACAACTATGTTCTTCTATTTAAATGTAAATGGTTCGACACTCATCCAGGAAGAAAGAGAGTTCAACAACACAAGAATAGAACGAGTATCTTTGTCAAGGACTCATGGTATGAGAATGAACCATTTATACTGGCATCTCAAGTGGAACGGGTTTTTTATGTGGATGATTTATTCAATGATCCGAACTGGAAAATTATTAAACATTTTGGACATCGACATATTTGGGATATTCCATATACGGAAGCAGACGACATTATAGTAGTTCAAGATACCGAGTCTATGAATGTTGACTTAAGCGTGGAACTCCCCAAGATTGACACTTATGTGGAATCGACCTAATATATCATATGATGTTGTCTTGTCCGATGTTGATGCAATTTTAAAAGACAAGTCTCCCGTTGAGGATAATGACTCCGATATACTCACCGAGCATGACGAAGAAGACTATGTTGAAGAAGACATCGACGATTCTGAGGATGATAGTGACATAAATGAGGAGGGCTACTTCTGGATCATCCGCAGCAGGAACAGTTAACGAGGAGGATATTATGGAGCAGTTTCTAGGCACCCGTAGAGGACACAAGACTGGAGTGGGTCACACACTCCCACAAAAAGTTTATCGAGGGGATGCGTCGTCATCTGGCTCACGCTCGGCAAGATCTTCTATGACACGTTCTGACCCACATGTAGAAGAATACTTGCAACAGAGTTACCAGCAAAACCTCCAGCTGTATAAGAGTGTCAGAATGATGCAGGATTTCATCACTCAAATACACCCCAACATGACTTTCCCAGCGGTTACTCCTCTTGTGCCATATGTCTGCTAGTTCATCTGCCTCCGAATCCTTCTGATGATAACGACGATGATTCTAGTGGTGTTGCTAATTTAGGAGATTAAATTTTTATTAATGTAACAATTTGTATTTTCACACATTTCAACTATAATTACATTTTTATTTTATTTTATTAATTACTTTTTATAATAATAATTTTTATTTCTATTTTTTATTATTTATTTCCTTTTATTTAATTCTTTTTATTATTATAATATCATGAATTATATTTAATATTGGGTTTAAATATATAGTAATATACAACATTAATTAGTAAAATGATAAAAAAAAATAAATATAAAATTAAAATATTATTTGCAATGACAAATGTGGTCGCAAAAAATATAAGCCACGTCAGGTAAATTTGCATCTTTTACTACGACTTAATTCAAAACATGTTGTTACAAAAACTCAATGCCATGTTATCTTAACGATGTAACCGACGAAATAATTGTAGCAACTTATTTGCGACGATTGTCATTGCAAATATAATTGTGACGACTGCTGGTCATCGCAAAAATTATTTTTGCAACGCATCAATTGCGGTGACAGTTTTGCGACGACAAGTGGTCACTAAAATTTTATTTGCGACGACTTTGCATTTGTTGCAATGACTTTTTGTCGTCGCTAGTAGCCCTATGTCTTGTAGTGTAACTTTTACTAAAGCCTGGCCTATTAATTTTTATTTCAATCATTATTCGGCGTATTTCCCTCCTTCTCCCTCTCTAACAATAAAAGATGTTACGTGGCCTGTTGAAAATTTAATCTCGTTAAATCTCACAAAATTTGTTCATAAACTACCTTCAATAAAAAAACTATTAGAGTAGCCATTAAAACTATACCATATAAATATATACATAAATAAAGGCCGTCTGACATATTGGCTTTAAGATCATGTCCACTAGGATTTTATTTTTATTTTAATTTTTTTATAGGACGACTGTTATCATTTTCTTATCTTTTGATATTATTTTTTAGGCGTGTTTCTATTAAAAAGAAGAAAAAATCATGGCTAAAATTGTACTGCTAGACATTCCACGTACGATTGAAAACAAAACTGAAATTCAGTATATGCACATTTTGAGAGACACTGTTATATATATTAGCTTACATATGGTAATCATAGAGAGAAAACATATATAATATATAGCATCAGAGAAGATAATTATGTGCCCTTTAAGAGCAGAAAACGTTTTGGGGAATAAAGCCGAAATAAATTGAAAGCAGAAAAGCATGACACCAAAGCCATCACAATGCAGGCCAAATAGCCAAATAGCAAAGCCACACCAACTTGAACACAAAATCTTGTAAATTTGTCGCATAACTTCATCCATTGGAAGTCGTTTTGGCCTGTTACTGCCATAGATGATCCCTGAACGGCAGCTGAGTTTGTTGCAAATGTTACATAAACTGCTATCTGTGGGAAGAAAAGAAAAGGAGATGAAGATCATCCGCACAACTACAACTTTTAGTTATATATATATATATATATATATATATATTAAATGAAGTTAAAATTAAGTGGACAAACGACTTTGGTCGCCCCTTTGAATTTGCGGTCGTTTTTTCAGGTAAACGGCCGAACTTTTATTTTTGTTTCTTTTAGGCAAATGACTGAGTTTTATGGTGCTCAATCACTGATATATGATAGTGTACTATTGGTGAATTGGTTTTGTTAATAAACCGGTAAATTATTTATTGAAATTGGTTAATCACTAATTTATATTGGTCAAACAATTATAAATCATCAATCAAAATTCAAACAGTTATAAACCACCAAGTCAATTAGAGATAAATCGGTTTATTATTAATATGTCATGATTTATTATTAATAAATAATCATTTTCCAAATTTTATAAAACTTGGATCATTTACTTAAAATTAGCAGATTCATCCCCATCTACAATATTTGAAGAAAGAAAAGGAAAAGAGATATCAAAATTAAATTATAATAAATGTGAAATTGCATGTTTTCTTTCTTTTTGACCTTTTTGAGAAAGAAGTTTCACGCTATTGACGTTGGGTTTTTAAAGAATGGCGTTAGGTTGTTTAGTTATTAATGAACATGAAAATGACATGATAACAAATTTTTAAGAATTTGAGCCTATTTCTCATCCGACCTTAAAGAGGGTCCATCAGATTTTATTTTTCCTTTCAACTTAACAATTAATAATGGGACCATATTCATTGCATCTTCATTCAAATATCCAAGAAAGGAAAATTCTACAATTAACGAATATGAAAGCTATAGAAAAGACTAGAAATCTTGAAGCCATTTGTAAAAATGACTTAATAAGAAAGCTCTATTAGTAAACTAACTTTATAAAAGTCTTTGTCTCCAAAAATAACTCGGGACAATTAAAAACGACCACCTTATATAAAGAAGGGCCATATGGTGATTTTTACAATTTCACTTTGTAGGGCAATAGCAACGCCCAAAAAAAAAAAAAAAAAACCTGGAAAATAAATTTTAGCGTAAATCTGATTAACCGACCATTTAATGGTCCAAAAAATTTTATTTTTCATTTTCTCAAATCCTTTTAATTAATTCTTAGGTTTTTATATGATATGGGGTTATTCTTGCTCCCACTTTCTAGGAACAAATGAAACCACCGAATATTGAATGGTGATGGACACACGCATTACTCACACACCCAAACACATGAGCCAACCTGGTCAAGTGGCCCTTTTAATTCATGGTTATGCAAAGGGATTTCTCCTAATTTTACCCATAAATTTGAACTAGCTAATCAATTTTTTTTGCCCTTTTTCCCATTGTCTTCATAACCCTACCATACACACACACACACACACACATATAGAAGTTCAATACATTTATTGGGAAGTAAGGGTTAACTATGTATATTAATTAATGGAAAAAGAAGATAAATACTCCTTAAAGTGCATGAGCCTATAATTTTATTCATTACTCTTGATTAATATCCTTTTTAGTTAAATAATTATATTAATTAAAAGGGTGTTAAGGAAGGGTAAAGAGTAAAAATACAGACTCATACACTTTAAGGGTAGCAATTTTCTCTTAATTTTAATTCTTAATTATTAAATGATACTAATTAATTAACTATCGTTGAGATTCAAGCCATAATATTCCTCTTGTTGGTCTGGCTAGTACATATCATTTTACAGTTATGTATGTATGTACGTATATGCATGTGTGAGTAGGTAAATAGTAAATACCTGATCTAACAAGAAACCAATCCAGGCTAAACGAATGTTAGACCCATTCAAGTTTCCTTCAAACCAAGTTGAGAAAAACATAATATTGCAGAGCCGTAGCAAATTGTATCCGGCAGCGAAAGAACAAACGTACACCCACACACTGCATCAAAAACAAAGAAATTAAAAGGTGTTCTAAGCGATTTTCAGCAAAAAAAAAAAAAAGGGTGATCTAGCTAAGTGACATGTACGTGGACGCATATTACTCGCGTTGTACGTACCAATAAATTAAGTAAATTTGCCTAAGACCCAGTCTAATGAGAGAGTTGCGGAGGGCTTTGAATCGGAGATTATAAGTTAGATCTCACTTGTAATCTTTATTTCTTCTTTTCAATAGATGACACAGGTTATAATACATACTTTTCTTATAATGAAAAAATAAGTTTGTAATACAATATTTTTTAAAATAAGAATTTGTGGATAGAAAATCTTATTCGGGCGCATTCGTTATATGACTCTTATACTTAATATAAAAAAAATAAAATAAAATAAAAACTATAGAGAGAGGAGCTTACTAGAGACAATTTAAGTCCCTGAAAGTAGCTTTCTTCCGGACAAGAAGTAGGTCCTTGGTCTGAGCATCGAAACCCAGCAAACAAGCAACAAAGACTAGAAGAAAAACTGCTAAAATCCTCAAGAGAACATGTGTTTTGTACGTCCCAAACTCCATATCTCTGTAATATTAAGAGCAGATAAAACTTATTTTCTCGAGGGAATGAAACAATGAGTTTTTTATATATGCAAAAGTATCATTTTGGTTGGAGAATCACGGGCGAGAGATGGACTTGCAAGGCAAATTGATATAAGGTTTAGAAATGTCCACGTACGTTTAGTTATGTCTACGTACCAATCGCTTAAATGTTGGTCTCCAACTAGCAAGGTCGGGTCCTGCTGTGGTCCCTCCCCATTTTGACTTGAAAGTTAGTAATCTCCATTTTAGATTAATGTTTATGAAGAGTCTGCCGAAACTATGACCTTTGTAATATCTTATTCCTCGACTTTCATACCGTAACATTTGTGTCTGTCAAAAAATCAAACGTTAACAAATTGGTCGGTTTGTTAGGATTTTGAACGGAAATAGAAATCTAATTAATCTATGGTACTCAATATAATTAGGGTTTAGTTTGATCATACTCTCTTGTTTTAAATAGTTTTTTATTTGACCCACCCGTAAAAGAGAATTCTACATTCAAGTCTTCCTCTCTAGCCTATATGAAAAAATCATGAGATTTTCTTTTTAAGAGAATAATACTAATGAAAGAGAAAATTAAAAAAAAAAATTAAAAACTTTTTTAAGTCGCTCTATGATTTATTTTATGTAACCTAATTAACGTTTGAGGAGTAATAAATTTCTTCAGTTACATTTTTTAATATCTGATTAATTTTGAGTAGAAAGAGCCTTGAGGTTTTTCTTTTCCTTTTTTTTAAGTACAAATATGAGTGGCTAAGTAGAATAGTAATTGTGCACCAAATGTTTAGGAACTACCACTTCTTGTATGACATGTGTTATTACTGTCCAAGATTCTAACAAACGGACTATTTCTCTTAACATTTCATTCTTTTGAGGGACACATATTGTTAGATTTTGAAAGTTGAGGGTAAATTGTTATAAATGTCACATGAGAATTTTTGTAATTAATTTTTTTAATAAACAGAAAGTGTATTAATAAGAGTAATGTGTAAATAATTGGACTCATGCACTCTAAAGTTAAGTTTAGCCATTTTTATTTGAGAAATGAAATCAACAAAGCCAACGAGAGAATTTGCACCCAAAAAAAAAAAAAAAAAACACGCATTGCATTTGCCTATTTTTAAATAACTACGGGAGTCAATAGATCCATCCTCAAAATATGAAAAATTAAGAGATGCCGCGTTAAAACACTCTCTAAAAAAATTAGAATTATCTTGTTTTTTTTTTTTCCCGCTCGTTATTGACTTGTAATGATCGTTTTTCAATTTTTCTTTCTTCCTTTTTTTTTCTTTTCTTTTTTTTTTTTTTTTTTGGAACTCTCAGAGCAACCGGGATACGACGGGCCTACATAATCAATGTATTGATCATATACGATTACGTTTAATTTATGGTTTGACGACCATTTAGTTTTCAAAAGAAAAAACAAATATCTTGCAGGGATTATTTTAGGGATTGTTAATTTTAATTGTTTCTGAGGCAATTTATTTCTTTTTTTTTTCTGAATTTATTGAAACGCGTTAAGCTTACTTACTGTGTACATTACATACATATATATATATATATATTAATCTTTGGCGCGCGTGATTTGTTTAAAAATAACTATTATATGAATCGTTTTTAAAAATGGTGAAAGAAGAAAAAAAAATTTCTCTCACTCAAAAAAGATTCTAACTTATTTTCTTGTGTTTTTAATTAATTTTATTATATTTTGTTTGAATTTGTTTTTATTTAATTTGGTGTGATTTGATTTGATTTTAATTCAACACATTTTTATTTATTTTTCATTACAAATTTTACAATATATTTTCATGTGAGTAGTATCAGAAAGTTGGTATAAGATGCTATTAAATGGCTATAATTCATACAAATTATTTATATATTTGTATCTGTGCAGCATTGAAAATTCGGCACTAAACGGTACTAAAAATCGGGCTACAAATCACTTAAAAATAAATAAATAAATAAACATAATAAATAGAGAGATTCTCCAATACGCCAGCGTATCAGTAGGTTAGGTTTTTTTAAGCGTTGGATCTGCGTACTTTTTAATTTTTACGTGATTTTATACAGATCCAACGGACAGAAAACTTCGCCTACCGATATGTTAGTGTATCGAAAAAGGTCCCTAACAAATAATAATAATAATAATAATAATAATAATAATTAGAAAAAAAGGAATGATTCCAACCCACCGCGTGATCTATTCAATATAACAGATTGCAAATTTAAAAAAAAATGAATGAAAAAGGAAAAAGGGCATAAGAGAAACGTGTTAGAATATGGTGACCCGAATTTAATTTAGTCCAACCCAAAAAGCTCGTGGATTGACATATATGGCGGAGCATTAATTATGAAAAATTTTTGGGGGTCTGTGTGTTGGAAAATACGGCATCGAGTGCACATCAGAATTTTAAAGAATTTAAATCAATGCCAAAGTCAATCAAGAACATGTTCATGATGCTATATAATATAAATACTAAAGATCTAAATCATACCTTTTGAGATTTAGAAAACTACACATCTGACAGATCAAAGCGTTCCAAACAGCAACCGGAAGAGCCTCAACCAACTGGTCTTATTTGTTATTCTCGTTTCCACGATCGGAGTGTGGGTGGGCACATGTCATTCAATCTCCTCTTTGTATTCTTGAACTCCTTCCAACCACAAGAGAGCTAAAAGAAAAATCGTTCTTGAGAATGAAACAATTTTTCCTCTCAGGAATCTCTTGTCAATAGCCTCCAAAAAGTCTCGCAAGTGATCTAATGAATAATGTGACTTAATATGCTATTTATAGTGTTTAGGAAGTCATATTTTTGTAACAATTAGGTTTTCTAAAGTTTATCTCGCTTATAGAGTCGGTTTCACCACGTCAGCATGCGTTACACATTACAACCGGTCGACTAGTGATAGAGACGTTATAACTCACCGGTCAACTAGTGACAGAGACGTTATAACTCACCGGTCGACCTATCTTCATGAACCGGTCTACCCGACCAGTCGACTTGTCTGCACTGACGAAACTTGTTTTCTTAGTTATTCAGCACAGGAAACTTGCATAGAGCCTCAATTTGATTCAAGCAACCTAATAAAGAAGTTGCCTGATCAAAATTGTCATATAATAGTCTTCACATATTAAACAACTCTTAAAATAATAATTCAACCAATTTATCTATAATTAATTTATCAATTAATTCACCCGATAAATCACTCATGAATTAACCATTCTCATATTAACATTGAACCTCTTTTACGGAAATAACACAAGTTACCAAAATGTAGGGAATACATCGTATCATTACAGAAAATTATGTGAGCTAGCAAAGGGACCCGGTGGACATGTATAAATCAAGCTCCTATAATCACAACGCTACTTGTAAACCAACAAGTCCATCTCATGATTATAAAACTCTAGCGCTACTCTACTAAAAGCCTAGAGTTGCACTCTCGATTTATATAGCGTATTTACCAAGCTCTGAATAGCTCTCATCCTTGACTGAATATATTAGTGTATCATCCCTGTAGGATATCCATAATCGACTTGAGGTCAACTTCCGTTTTACCTTCCCGATTACATTTATCTTATGTTCCATTATCACACCATCAGAAAACCATTATTCATACCATTACAAATAGTAAACCATTAGATAACACAGAGTAGTCTAATGGCCGAGCGCTCATATTCTCTAATCCATAGATAATGCATAAGTGGATATCATTGACTCTTTGTAGGAGCTATGGATTCCACTATCTATGAATAACGAATCTACGCATACACGAGTCATACCCCCAATGTATTGGTAAGCGTACCTTTACATAATGTCAGGATGTCTCTACATTAAAGGATACAAGTCAAGCATACGGGTTCATTATCCATCTCAGGATTAAGATGACAACATATAATTTGTCAAAAGTGAATTGTTTTAATCAAACATAATTATTAATTTAAACAATTCATATTTGGTCCAATCCAATATAGATTTCACCATTAGAAACTATATCAATGTCTCCACCCATGGAGTCCCACCTCCGATGACTAAGACAAGCCGTCTCCATTAAGAAGTAGACAACATAACAATCTTAACATGAATAAAGCGCCCAACTTTATTCCCTCAATTGTGGATCATAAGATTTAGACTATCATCTTTAGATTCTTGTCTTCCGCATGTTCTTCACATTACATGCATAACCTAAAGATTTAGAATGACAGTCTCAGACTTTCAGTTTGCTTATCATACATTTAACTAATATGAACATAAAGAGGACAATACATAGATATATGAAATAAATAAATCTTTATTAATAGTCAAAATGTCTCAAAGAACATCGTTACATTTATTCCTAAGGGCATAAACTCTAACAATCTCCCACTTGCACTTAAGTGGGTAAATGTGACATGCTACGGATCCCCATAGCCTCGACATGCTTCTCGAAGGCCTTAGCCGGTAGGGCCTTCGTGAATGGGCTAGCCATATTGTCCTCCGACGCGACCTTGCACATTTTCACATGCCCTTCTTCAATAAAGCTCCTTATCACATGATAGTTCCTATTTATGTACTTACTCATTTTATGATATTTTAGTTCTTTGGTGTTAGCTATTGCCACACTATTATCACAGTAAAGTCTCAATGGCTTATCCACACCAGGATCTACTTCAAGAACCATTAGAAATTTACAGAGCCACACTACTTCTTTTGAAGAATCATTAGCTATCACATACTCGGCTTCCATCATTTAGTCAGAAGTGCAAGTTTGCTTAACAGTCCTCCAAACAACAGAACCACCTCTTAGAGTAAAGACAGAACCTGAAGGCGATTTCCTAGAATCCAAACAGGATTGAAAATCTGAATCTGTATATCCTAGAGGTGTCAAATCCTCCCCGAAATATATCAGCATATAATTTCTAGTCCTCTGAAGATACTTGAATATATGCTTGACCGCTACCCAGTGGTTAGGTCCTGGATTCGACTAATATCGACTAACAATCTCGACCGCATGGAAAATGTATGGTCGAGTATAAAGCATTGCATACATGAG